CCAGAAGTTCCTCTCATGGAGATCAAGTTCTGCACCGAGAAGTTTCTTCAAGATTCCGGTCTGAACCACATAATTATTCGCCTCTGTGGTTTCATGCAGGTATTCTTGTCGTCCAGTCACATGTCAACAATCACTATATTTTCCTTTTGTAAAGCAATCTTGAGTTAGTGTGGCCAACTTCATGCTCGGCTTATGAACAGAGTTATTCCATGAATTAGTATATTTTTGAAGTGGCTGAAATTGAAGTAAATGATATTTCTATATTTAAATGATTTATTAAGAAAATATATTTTAAATAATATTGTATGAATAGTTCAGCCATTTCACACAAAACTGTAGCAAATGTAGCAGACTTCTCCCTTTTTTATGGGTAGTTCAGCTGTGTAGAACTATATTTTGTTGACAAAATAAAGAAGAAATATACTCCTTTTTATTTATTTGTTCCATCTATTTGCTTTGTTTCCATTTTGCAACTTTTACCTTACCTTTTCATCTCCTATTTCCTATTTTTTCTGTACTAGTTAAGTAGTTATCCTTCTTTTTTTTTTTAATGTGTTCACCTGCTTTCCTACTTGTTACACTTTCTCAACACTACTCATTATTCACTAACCCTACCATATGCATCTCAAAACGTGTTAAAACCTTATATCCCTGCAGGAAGAAAAATTTAACAAAACTCAGAACTTTAGTAAAAAATACCACCATCCCTGTTTTTTCATTATTAACCAATTCAATAGCGGATAAATTAGTGTTCCTTAAATATATTATAAGGTGAAAGAGTAGCTCTGAGGCAGCCATTAAGTTGATGTTGAATGTTTTGCAGGGGTTGATTGGGCAATATGCAGTACCTGTTTTAGAAGAGAAATCTGTCTGGGGAACTGACGCTCCTACACGGATCGCATATATGGACACTCAAGTTAGTTTTTGTCGGTTTGTTCCTCGTCAGGATCAACTTGTATTTTAACAAAGTAGTATGCCCTTCGTTGTGTAGGATATTGCTCGATTGACCTTCATAGCTTTGCGCAATGAGAATATCAATGGAAAGCTTCTAACTTTTGCAGGTCCTCGGGCATGGACGACCCAAGAGGTAAAATTGGTTTCCCTTAAGGTTACAATATTAGATTGTTTTTGTCTTACTTGTTATTTTGTGCAAAATAAAATGCTCAAGACGGTCTCATGGGTCCCACTATGTGGGACCTACAACCTATCTCTTTTCAGTTTGAGACCCATCTCTATCCAGCTATGTCGCACAGAAACATAGGAATGTAAAATGAGGACGCTATCTTTCAATACAAAGCCAAGTCTTTGAAGAGTTTCTGAAGAGCTATGTTGTAATCTAAAAAAAGTCTTAGACAAGTTATGTGTTATACATTTAATTAAACCTACAAACTAATTTTAGTTTTGATTAATGATTCATAGCAGTTTTTCCTTGACCGCAAATTTTACAAGAAAATATGTTTGTTGGTTAGACAGAAATATTTTTATTACTAATACTTTTGGGATAAAAAATTTAGAACTACTCCAATCACTTTTTGCATTGTGTACAGTATTTTTTTTGACAGAAGTTAGGTTTTTAGTTTGTAGCACAAAAGTAATAGATCTAAACTGAGCAGCTTGATAGATTGTCTCTACAAAGTTTTACTTTATGGTGTCTATAGCACTTTCTGCCTTTGAACAAGTGTATGTGTATTTTTAACTATACATTACTGTTAAGCTAGTTGCTTAAAACCCTACTATGTACACACATACAGGTGATAACATTGTGCGAGAGGCTGGCTGGGCAAGATGCGAACGTCACCACAGTTCCAGTTTCAGTTTTGCGTTTCACACGCCAACTCACTCGTTTCTTTGAGTGGACAAACGATGCTGCTGACCGGTTGGCATTTTCAGAGGTGTGATCACTTCTTTGTTAAAACTACATTTTTTGTTTGACACATAATAGGTAAACCTAGTTCAGACTCTTCGTATTTATTACCCACCAAAACTCCCTCTTAGCAACTGGGTTAGACATGAGGATCCTGAAATCAGACAAGCACTGAAAGGGGAAAAATTGAAGTTGTATTTGCCACAATAAGTTGAAGCTCAGCCGTAAAAAAGGATGACACCCCATCCCTTAGGGCCCCTTGGACCAGTTGAACAACAAGTTATCTAAGAGGGATTTAAATTGAGCTTTGATCGCGAACTCAAGAAAGTGGGTTGCAGTCCAAGTCTTTGCTTGGAATTGAACTCATGATCTCTTCCTCTTCCCATCAGTTGAGCTATGCCCCGGCGAAGCTGAATTCTAATGTCTAGGTCGGGGGTTGTTGTCTTCAGCTAGACTTTGGATTTCTGAGCCTGAAATGTTAACTGATTAAGGTATACCCGTTTGGCCAAAAAAATGATTGAAAAAAATGTAAAATATTTAATTAAAGGGATAAGGGTCAGATAGGGCCTCGAACTCGAAAAAAAATGTCAAATAAGGTCATATTTCGGATGCTCTGTCTGGCCGACGCCATTTGGGGCGGTTCCCGATGGAATTTTTTGATAAAATTTTTTGAGCATCTTCCTCATTAAGTCTAGTTTACCCATACCAAATTTCAGCTAAAAACTCAACCGGGAAGGTAGTCAAATGAGTTTTTGAAGATAACTGTGAAGTTAAACAACGCCGTACATTTCGGAAAATTATTTGACTACCTTCCCGGTTGAATTTTTAGCTGAAATTTGGTATGAGTAAACTAGACTTAATGAGGAAGATGCTCAAAAAATTTCATCAAAAAATTCCATCGGGAACCGCCCCAAATGGCGTCGGCCAGACAGAGCATCCGAAATATGACCTTATTTGACATTTTTTTTCGAGTTCGAGGCCCTATCTGACCCTTATCCCCCCTTAATTAAATGTAAAAAACACAGAAAGAAATTATGCAAGGACAATATCAGATGTTGAAAAATGGAAAATATAGAAAATATGTAACTCTGCATTGAATTGATTGTGTCATTGAACATAAAAGTTCACAAAAAAACTTCACCCCTTCAATGATCAGCTCTGGATTCAATGGGGCTATTGGTACATTAAAGGGTCAATAATGGGCTTAACTGACGTTGAGACAACAATGCTCCCCAAGAGAACAGAAAAACTATTTATGCACTTATGCAAGCACCATGGGCCAAATATGACATCTTTGGTAGGTGAAATTTTCAGGTTTTGACCGGTGATGAGGTTTTTTCTGTTCCAATGTCGGAGACTTACAAGACTCTAGGTGTGGATGCAAAAAACATAGTTACACTGGAGAAATACCTACAGGATTATTTTACAAACATACTCAAGAAGCTAAAGGACCTTAAAGCACAATCAAAGCAGGCTGACATTTACTTCTGAAATTTCTATTTTGAAATAGGGGATCTAAGACGCCCCTAGTAATCCGGTGTAGTAATTGTAAATGATTTTAACCTATTACTTTGAAGCCTTTGACTCGCCAAGTATAAACCATATGTTATCGAGTGAATATTGTTTTGGGATTGTAGTTGCATATATTCTTCAACTTGACCGAGTCATTAAGGATTTATTCAATTGGATCAATTTATATCAGATCAGATTTAAATACTCGGTACTATTTGAGATCGGACCAGGACCGGTTTCTCGGTACCGGTACTGATCCGGTAACCGGACCGGCTATCTGGAAGGACCGGCTCGGACAACAATATTTGGGACCGGACTGGCTGGTCTCGGGCCTGGTTCCGGATATCCGGTCCCAATAGTCATTTAAAAAAAAGATGGGGTTGGGATGGCATGTAGGCTATGTAGCCGTTGGGGTGGGGGTTGGGGCGGTTTGTGGGCTGCAGGTAAAAAAAAATTATAAATACCCCTATTTCTGAAAAAATTCTACACCTATTCTTCAATTCTCCTTGCCCTCTAATCATCTCCATCTTCATACTCTCCAATTCTCTCTACACAATTCTCTAATCTTATATTTACTTATAATAAAATATATTATATCTATTTATGAGAAATGATCCTGTCCAACACGTTTTTGTCCGAACGCCGTCCGAACATGGCCATTTGGGGCCCTTCCCGGTAGAATTTTTTGAGCATGTTCCTCATCAAGTCTAGTTTGTCCATACAAAATTTCAGCTCAAAACTCCACCGGGAAGGCATTCAAACATTATTTGAAGTTGACTGCGTCAAAATGTACATATAAAAATGCAGTCAACTTCAAAAAATTATTTGAATGCCTTCTCGGTCGAATTTTGAGCTGAAATTTGGTATGGACAAACTAGACTTGATGAGGAACATGCTAAAAAAAAATCATCAAAAAATTCCACCGGGAAGGGCCCCAAACGGGGATGTTCGGACAGAGGGTTCTGTCCGAACGTTTGGACCTGAACTTTTCTGATCTATTTATATTAGTTATATACTTATATGAGTCCTTTTCTTGTCCAGCCGGCCTGACGGGAACCGCCGTCCGGCCGAGGGCATTTCGGGCACTTCCCGATGGAATTTGTTGATGAATGTTTTTGAGCATGTTCTTCATGAAGTCTAGTTTATCCATACCAAATTTCAGATCAAAATTCGATCGGGAAAGCATTCAAATAATTTTTTGAAGTTGACTGCGTCAAAGTATACATATAAAAACCAAGTCAACTTCAAAAAATTATTTGAATGCCTTCTCGATCGAATTTTGAGCTGAAATTTGGTATGGATAAACTAGACTTGATGAAGAACATGCCCAAAACATTTCATCAAAAAATTCCACCGGGAAGTGCCCGAAATGCCCTCGGCCGGACGGCGGTTCTCGTCAGACCGGCTGGACATGAAAAGTCCTCTACTTATATTTACATATATTACATAAAAAAAATACTTATTATCTACTTGTAACACCCTACCCGAACCGGCCCCGCCGATCCGAGCGGTGTGTCACGTGGCAGAAGTCAAAACGGATTTAACCAGAAGACTTTTAGTTATTTAAACAAAATTAAGTATTTAAGTAAAACATTTTAATTCAAATGTCAACTTATTATTCAATACTTGAAAATATCAAGTCAACATAAAGCAATTAATATTATACAACACAAAATATTTTTGTAATATGCGGAAGCGTTTACAAAATGAAAATGATCAGATAAGTTTAAAGTCAAACTTGCTTCTTATTTGTTTATTTATAAACAATACACACATGATATGCACATGAATCCTACGCCTCCTTCCATCCCAGCATCCTTATCTTAGCTGAATGTACTTCAACCTACGGGTAGGAAAAACAAACAACTACCCGCTCAGCAATGTGCTGAGTGGTACGGTACAAATACTGATAACGATAATCATAACAATAATGATAAATATAATAATTATCACATATTTAAATCAAATAACAACATATCATAATTAGCATCTAGTCAAACAAACAATTGACATACCTGAGTGAGCCGAATAACTGTCATAAAAATCAAAATATTCATATACAGATCAGAAGCATATTCAGATATCATAATTATCAAATAATTCTTATCCGGAGGTATATTATTAATAAATTCATTTAAGCCTTGTACTCAAGAACTGGACCTGGACAGTGAATACTAACGGTAAGGAATACGGACATAAAGTCCATACCCACATTACCCAGAAAGGATATGGAAACGTAATCGCCGGAGCTACACGTACCAATCCCTAACAGAAGCTAGCTGAACAGAAAGGACGAGATCACCGAAGAGACTCGAACCTTAACAGAAGAGTAATAGTGCTCTAAAAAGATTTCAGGAGTGTACATAGTACACTAAACAGGAGAACACTAATTCCTCTAAGACAGAATTTCAGGAGTGTACATAGTACACTAAACAGACAGATCAGGAGTATTCGTGTCAGAGTGCCGGATCAGGAGCAAGGCATTTAAGAAACAATTTTCTTCAGTTTGTTTAAAATTAAAATATTGAGTTTAATATATATCTTATATTTAATGACAATATCGGATGTCAACATTTATACATAAATCTTTATTAAACTTCTAATCAACATATATTATCCTTCTATTATTTATTAGTTTATGAAAAATATTCTGACCGACTTAACTAAATATATACATGATAATCTTTAGATCATTGCTAAACTTATACAATCAATTCATAACTTACTTTTTCACTTACGTAAGAAGTAAACGAAATAATTGGAAACTATACATGCTTAATTGGTATGCTACCATAATTGTGTACACAAAGTTTTATATGTATAGTACCTAGCTACGTATAAACTTATTAGCAGAACTGCTACTTAATTCATGAAGTGAATATAAGTATTACACGTATCTCTACATATCTTTACCTCAGTCGGTTATATTACTATTACTCCTAATAATTTCCATGAACCATAATTTCTGATAAATAAATTAGTTATACTAAATCTGTAGGTTACACCTTGCAACTAGTTCTATGTGCACTTATATATTATATACTACGTGTATATATATATATAATCTTAACTAATTATATGTGACTCAAAACTAAACTACGTAAATAAATAATATTAAAGTAAATGGTCAAATGATACATATAATATGAATTACTACGTAAATTAACTAAAATCTTTAATACGTAATTAGCTAACTCTATATGTAGGTAAATACTTATTTTTTAGTGTGTTACAAATGATACATATAATATGAATTAATTTATTTCTAGTTCTACATACATGCATGTACTACATGATCGTTAATGGGAATACATATACTATGAATCAACTTATTTTCAAAAGAACATGAAATGTCTAAAGGCTAAAATTTCACACATTTATATTTTTCATTCACAAACAACTTAGCCATGCATCGTGCTTGGTTCGTTTTATGATTTTCCCCTTCAAACTTGCCAGACTTGTTCCTTCAATTAAACTTTTCTTTTTCATTTTATTTTTATTTACGTACAAAGTATAAGGTAATTATCAATAATAGCTCTTATAAATTATGAACACACGGTTAAAGCATACAAATATTTCTAAGGCTAAATAATACGGAGTATTCATCATCCCCATAACATATGAAACGGGGACGGAAATTATACTTACATAATAATATTAAAATATACATTAAATAAAACTGGGTCAGAAGTACTGACCTTAAAGACAAATACTTCTAAAATTTTATTGGAACGGAAACCTCCTAGACGGCTCCTCCTAGACAGCTGTATACTTCATGGAGCTACTCCGTATATTTCTTTTGAGGAGTTTCTTGTTTTAGTTAGTATACATATCATGTAAAAATGAGAGGAGGTAGGCTTCCTATTTAAAGCCAATTGAGTTTCATGTGTGTGGCTAGGAATTTCATAAAGCAATAATTATCTTCTCTCAAATAGTACGTATGATCATTCACTCTCCCATACCATGAGGTGGCTTACTATTCATTTGTTTGGATGTCCATAAATTTTAACATGTCAATTTGTCTCCCTTAAGTTCACTATGCAATTAAATCATTCAATCAAATAATTCAATTCATATCATTTGTTTATTTGAGTACGTTACTTCACATCCCTTGCCATTTAAATTTTATTTTGTTAAGTTTAGGTGTCAAATTCTAGAATTTAATTAAATCCCATGAAAACCTTTTTTTGTTTTTTGTGTAGAGCTAATACACCGTATTTTATAATTATCTCATTACTTGATTCATCTAAAATTTTCGTGTATTGAAGCTTATCAAAATTTTGTTATAATTTAATTAATTAATAAAGAAAAGTGTCAGTAAATTTTATGTCGTTAGACTAAGGTAATAATATCTATAAAAATAAATTATTCATATGTATCTTAACTATTAGACCGGATTTTGGGGCGTTACATTTCTCCCCCCCTTAAAAGAATTTCGTCCTCGAAATTACCTTAGTTGACGTTGTTGAACAAATATGGATACTGGGTTATCATTGCTTCTTCGGTTTCCCAAGTTGCTTCTTCCGTGGTGTGGTTCTTCCATAGAACTTTGACTAAGGGAACCGTTTTATTCCTTAACACCTTCACATCTCGAGCAAGAATTTGTACAGGTTCTTCTTCATAGGTTAAATCTTTATCAAGCTCCACAATTCCGGGTGTTAGTACATGTGAAGGATCAGATCTATATCTTCTTAGCATTGACACATGAAAAACATCATGTATTTGGCTCAGGTCTGATGGTAATGCTAGTCGATAGGCTACAGGACCAATACGTTCAGTGATTTCGTAAGGTCCAATAAACCTCGGACTCAGCTTTCCCTTTTTGCCGAAACGGAGTACTTTTTTCCAAGGAGACACTTTCAAGAAAACCTTTTCTCCTATAGCATACTCGATATCACGACGCTTTAAATCAGCATATGATTTTTGTCTATCTGATGCTTCCTTGAGTCGTTGTTGAATCAATTGGACCTTCTCCTCTGTTTCTTGAATCAAATCAGGCCCAATGATCTTTCTTTCACTTAACTCTGTCCAACAGACGGGAGTTCTACACTTTCGACCATACAGAGCTTCATACGGTGCCATCTGAATGGTAGCTTGATAGCTATTGTTGTATGCAAACTCCATAAGAGGCAGATATTTCTCCCAACTTCCTTTGAATTCAATAGCACATCCCCGCATCATATCCTCAAGAATTTGAATAACTCTTTCAGACTGACCATCTGTCTGAGGATGAAAGGCTGTGCTAAAGTTCAGTTTCGTACCAAGTGCCTCTTGTAAGCTTCTCCAGAATTGAGAAGTGAATCTTGGATCTCTATCAGATATGATGGATAACGGTATCCCATGTAATCGGACTATCTCTTGGAGATACAATTCGGCCAACTTGTTTAATGAGAAATCCCTTCGAATGGGTATGAAATGAGCAGATTTGGTAAGTCGATCCACAATTACCCAAACTGAGTCATTCTTCCTTGGTGTCAAAGGTAATCCCACCACAAAATCCATGGTTACCCGATCCCATTTCCATTCTGGTATTGTAATGGATTGTAACAATCCAGATGGAACTTGATGTTCAGCTTTAACTTGTTGGCAAGTGAGACACTTAGAAGTATACTCAGTGATATCACGTTTCATACCGGACCACCAGTATCGATTCTTCAAATCTCGATACATCTTGTTGCTGCCCGGATGCATTGAGTACTTTGTTTCATGTGACTCCTGAAGAATTCTTTGTTTAACCTCTCCATTAGGAATGACCAAACGTCCCTTGAAGCAAAATCCACCATTACTTTGTTTAGTGAAATCTGGTTTCTCCCCTTTAGAAATTGACTCCACTATTTGAAGGCACTGATCATCAGATTTTTGAGCTGTTATGATTTCTTCTTGAAGTGAAGGTTTGAGATGTAGTTCAGCTAGAGTTTTTCGACTCAAAGCATCTGCCACAACGTTAGCTTTCCCTGGATGATAATTGATTACACAATCGTAATCCTTGATTAATTCTAACCAACGCCTTTGCCTCAAATTTAGCTCCTTTTGCGTCGGAAGATATTTCAGACTTTTGTGATCGGTAAAGATGTAACACCTTTCCCCATAAAGATAATGTCGCCATATCTTTAAAGCAAAGACAATAGCGGCTAACTCCAGATCATGTGTGGGGTAGTTCTTCTCGTGCTCTTTGAGTTGTCTCGAGGCGTACGCGATCACTTTTCCTTCTTGCATTAATACACATCCCAAGCCATTATGAGAAGCATCACTATACACGGTGAAGTCCTTACCAGATACCGGTTGAACAAGTACCGGAGCTTCTGTGAGAACCTTCTTTAGTTTATCAAAACTCTCTTGACAAGAGGGTGTCCATTCAAAACGTGAATTTTTCTTCAAGAGTTTATGAAGAGGTGAAGCTATCAAGGAAAAGCCTTTAACAAAGCGACGATAGTAACCTGCTAATCCCAGGAAACTTCGGACCTCCGTCACAGTTCGAGGTGGTCTCCAATTTGTAATGGCTTGAATTTTCGTGGGATCAACTCTTATGCCATCTGCTGAAATGACGTGACCCAAGAAAGTTACTTGATCAAGCCAAAATTCACACTTCGAAAACTTGGCATAGAGTTTGTGCTTTTGTAGTGTTTCTAACACAATTTTAAGATGTTCCTTGTGCTCCTCCTCAGACTTTGAATAGACCAGAACATCATCAATAAATACAACCACAAACTGGTCTAAAAGGGGCTTGAATACTCTGTTCATTAGGTCCATGAATGCGGCAGGAGCATTGGTTAACCCAAAAGGCATAACCAAAAACTCATAGTGTCCATATCTTGTTCTAAATGCAGTTTTTGGTACATCTTCTTTCTTCACAGGCAGCTGGTGATATCCCGAACGAAGATCAATCTTTGAGAACACTTCGGCTCCCTTGAGTTGGTCGAAGAGATCATCGATCCTCGGCAGCGGGTAACGGTTTTTCACCGTCACTTTGTTCAGCTGTCGATAATCGATGCATAGTCTCATGGAACCATCCTTTTTCTTCACGAATAGAACGGGTGCGCCCCACGGAGACACACTAGGTTGGATGAATCCCTTATCCAAGAGATCTTGAAGTTGTGCCTTTAATTCTTTCATTTCAGCGGGAGCCATTTGATAAGGAGTTGCTGAAATGGGAGTGGTACCAGGAACTAGTTCAATATTAAATTCCACTTCTCGAGATGGTGGTAAACCTGGTAATTCATCAGGAAAGACATCTAGAAAATCTTGTACAATAGGGATGTCTTGTACTAATTGAGCTTCTTTCTGAGTGTCACGAACATATGCTAGATATGCTTGGCATTTCTTACTCATAAGCCTTTTAGCATGCATCATAGAAATGAGTTGAGGTGGCCTTGGAAATAATTCTCCGGGAACAAGAATAGTATCACCCTGCTCAGTTTGAAGTAGTAATGTTTTGTCTTGGCAATTCACTATAGCTTTATGCTTAGAGAGCCAATCCATACCAAGAATTACGTCAAATTCTCGATAGGGTAATTCAATGAGATCTGCATTAAATTGTTTCCCTTGAACCTCTAAAGGACAGTGTCGGTATATTTGATTAACAATAATACTTCTCCCTAAAGGTGTGGACACCTCCATTTGGATGTCTAGATGTTCTTTTGGATATTCATCTAAGCAAGGTGGGCAGACACATATATAGGAATGTGTGGAACCAGGATCAATTAAAGCAGATATATCAGTGTTGAAAAGGGTGAACATACCAATAATGACATCATTCTCTGGTTGCTCTTCTCTAGCCTGCATGGCATAAGTCCGAGCCTGGGGACGACCCTGTGTAGGCCTGTTTACCGTGTCAGAGTTGCTCCCAGTATTGCCTTGGATACGAGTTTGTTGGCTCATCTGTGGGGGCTGAGTGGGGCGGACTGGAGCTGAAGAGGCATCAACTGTGACAAGCAAAGGGCATTGTCGGAGCATGTGCCCCTTTTGGCCACAACGAAAACAAGCTCCGGAGGCTTTTCTACATTCACCGATGTGGTGTTTGCCACAAAACGAGCATAGCGGAACAGTTTTGACCTGAGAAACCGGTGGTCGAGGTTTGTTGCTACCAGACGTGGACTTGGCACGAGATGATTCATTATATCGACTCTGAGATTTTACCTTTCCACTTTCATGTCTCTTCCCCGTCGAGTTCATTGTCGGTGCTGAGTAAGAAAATGTCCCCCTGCTGCTCTTTCTTCTGCGCCACCCTTCAAAACTTTGAGCGGCCCCCACAAGCAACGTGAAGCTAACATGGCGTAAGGTAACCACCTGCCCAGCGATTTCCTCATTAAGCCCATACTCAAATTTCCGGCACTTGTCAGCTTCCATTCTTACCATATCGGGAGCATACTTGCTCAGGCGAAGGAATTCATATGCATACTCTGCCACCGTCATGGATCCTTGTGTCAGATCCATAAACTGTCGTTTTCGTTCTTCTTGGTACCAGGCCGGGACAAATTGATCTATGAAGCGTTCCATGAAGTAGTCCCACGTCACGGGTCTCGGTAGATCAGGTCTGAGAAGTACTGATTTCCACCAATCGTAGGCTCCATGTTGCAGCAAACTAATAGCATGTCGTGGGCGATCGGCTATCGGCACTTGTAAGTCTTCTAAGACTCGAGCAGTTTGCTCAAGCCAAAATTCGGCAATTTCCGGAGTATCCCCCCTTTTCCCAAAGAAAATGGAGGCGCCATTCTTCTTTAGCTTCTCGATCGTAATGGACTCCCGTGCATCTCCGTTATTAGTCGGGATCACATTTTGAACGATTTGCTGGAACAGTCCAGTCATCTGCTGTATGAACGGATTTGGAACATGGTATTCATCATGGTGAGCACTGGCATGTTCAGATCCATGCACAGAATGCTCACTTGGATCATCAGATGACATTATAGGTGCCTAAATTTAGAAGTTCCATAATAACTTAGTTATCTATGATATAACTAAATACCAGGATGTGAGGCGGACTTCTAGAATGAAATGCAAGACACATAGTTTAAATAAAGTTGAACCCATTATTTTTTTTTTATATATATATTTTTTTTTTTTAGAATCGCTTTTAAAACCAATGGCTCTGATACCAAAATGTAACACCCTACCCGAACCGGCCCCGCCGATCCGAGCGGTGTGTCACGTGGCAGAAGTCAAAACGGATTTAACCAGAAGACTTTTAGTTATTTAAACAAAATTAAGTATTTAAGTAAAACATTTTAATTCAAATGTCAACTTATTATTCAATACTTGAAAATATCAAGTCAACATAAAGCAATTAATATTATACAACACAAAATATTTTTGTAATATGCGGAAGCGTTTACAAAATGAAAATGATCAGATAAGTTTAAAGTCAAACTTGCTTCTTATTTGTTTATTTATAAACAATACACACATGATATGCACATGAATCCTACGCCTCCTTCCATCCCAGCATCCTTATCTTAGCTGAATGTACTTCAACCTACGGGTAGGAAAAACAAACAACTACCCGCTCAGCAATGTGCTGAGTGGTACGGTACAAATACTGATAACGATAATCATAACAATAATGATAAATATAATAATTATCACATATTTAAATCAAATAACAACATATCATAATTAGCATCTAGTCAAACAAACAATTGACATACCTGAGTGAGCCGAATAACTGTCATAAAAATCAAAATATTCATATACAGATCAGAAGCATATTCAGATATCATAATTATCAAATAATTCTTATCCGGAGGTATATTATTAATAAATTCATTTAAGCCTTGTACTCAAGAACTGGACCTGGACAGTGAATACTAACGGTAAGGAATACGGACATAAAGTCCATACCCACATTACCCAGAAAGGATATGGAAACGTAATCGCCGGAGCTACACGTACCAATCCCTAACAGAAGCTAGCTGAACAGAAAGGACGAGATCACCGAAGAGACTCGAACCTTAACAGAAGAGTAATAGTGCTCTAAAAAGATTTCAGGAGTGTACATAGTACACTAAACAGGAGAACACTAATTCCTCTAAGACAGAATTTCAGGAGTGTACATAGTACACTAAACAGACAGATCAGGAGTATTCGTGTCAGAGTGCCGGATCAGGAGCAAGGCATTTAAGAAACAATTTTCTTCAGTTTGTTTAAAATTAAAATATTGAGTTTAATATATATCTTATATTTAATGACAATATCGGATGTCAACATTTATACATAAATCTTTATTAAACTTCTAATCAACATATATTATCCTTCTATTATTTATTAGTTTATGAAAAATATTCTGACCGACTTAACTAAATATATACATGATAATCTTTAGATCATTGCTAAACTTATACAATCAATTCATAACTTACTTTTTCACTTACGTAAGAAGTAAACGAAATAATTGGAAACTATACATGCTTAATTGGTATGCTACCATAATTGTGTACACAAAGTTTTATATGTATAGTACCTAGCTACGTATAAACTTATTAGCAGAACTGCTACTTAATTCATGAAGTGAATATAAGTATTACACGTATCTCTACATATCTTTAGCTCAGTCGGTTATATTACTATTACTCCTAATAATTTCCATGAACCATAATTTCTGATAAATAAATTAGTTATACTAAATCTGTAGGTTACACCTTGCAACTAGTTCTATGTGCACTTATATATTATATACTACGTGTATATATATATATATAATCTTAACTAATTATATGTGACTCAAAACTAAACTACGTAAATAAATAATATTAAAGTAAATGGTCAAATGATACATATAATATGAATTACTACGTAAATTAACTAAAATCTTTAATACGTAATTAGCTAACTCTATATGTAGGTAAATACTTATTTTTTAGTGTGTTACAAATGATACATATAATATGAATTAATTTATTTCTAGTTCTACATACATGCATGTACTACATGATCGTTAATGGGAATACATATACTATGAATCAACTTATTTTCAAAAGAACATGAAATGTCTAAAGGCTAAAATTTCACACATTTATATTTTTCATTCACAAACAACTTAGCCATGCATCGTGCTTGGTTCGTTTTATGATTTTCCCCTTCAAACTTGCCAGACTTGTTCCTTCAATTAAACTTTTCTTTTTCATTTTATTTTTATTTACGTACAAAGTATAAGGTAATTATCAATAATAGCTCTTATAAATTATGAACACACGGTTAAAGCATACAAATATTTCTAAGGCTAAATAATACGGAGTATTCATCATCCCCATAACATATGAAACGGGGACGGAAATTATACTTACATAATAATATTAAAATATACATTAAATAAAACTGGGTCAGAAGTACTGACCTTAAAGACAAATACTTCTAAAATTTTATTGGAACGGAAACCTCCTAGACGGCTCCTCCTAGACAGCTGTATACTTCATGGAGCTACTCCGTATATTTCTTTTGAGGAGTTTCTTGTTTTAGTTAGTATACATATCATGTAAAAATGAGAGGAGGTAGGCTTCCTATTTAAAGCCAATTGAGTTTCATGTGTGTGGCTAGGAATTTCATAAAGCAATAATTATCTTCTCTCAAATAGTACGTATGATCATTCACTCTCCCATACCATGAGGTGGCTTACTATTCATTTGTTTGGATGTCCATAAATTTTAACATGTCAATTTGTCTCCCTTAAGTTCACTATGCAATTAAATCATTCAATCAAATAATTCAATTCATATCATTTGTTTATTTGAGTACGTTACTTCACATCCCTTGCCATTTAAATTTTATTTTGTTAAGTTTAGGTGTCAAATTCTAGAATTTAATTAAATCCCATGAAAACCTTTTTTTTTTTTGTGTAGAGCTAATACACCGTATTTTATAATTATCTCATTACTTGATTCATCTAAAATTTTCGTGTATTGAAGCTTATCAAAATTTTGTTATAATTTAATTAATTAATAAAGAAAAGTGTCAGTAAATTTTATGTCGTTAGACTAAGGTAATAATATCTATAAAAATAAATTATTCATATGTATCTTAACTATTAGACCGGATTTTGGGGCGTTACACTACTTATATTTACATCAACTTATATACTTATTCTTTTTTAGTTTAGGTGACGTCTGGGGGAGGGGTCTGGGGATGCCTAGAGTAATTGGGGCGGAATTCACTCCATTGACTTTCGAACTCGAGATCCCATTTAAGGGAGAGTGAGTCGGCGATCAGCTGGGCTGGACCACTTCCTCCAACTTGTATACTTATTATCTATTTATATTTGCATATTATTATATCTACTTATATATATGAAGTACATTTATTAAAGTAATAAAAATAAGTATACTACTCATCTTATAGTAGTATACTTATATATTATATAGGCTAAAGGGTCAAATATGCCCTTGAATTGACTTAAAATGTTTAATTAGCCCCTTATATAGGAGGTTCTGCCCGGCCGTCGCCAATTGGGGTGGTTCCCGGTGAAATTTTTTTATGAATTTTTTTGAGCATCTTTTTCATTAAGTCTAGTTTACTCATTCCAAATTTCAGCTAAAAATTCAACCGGGAAGACAGTCAAATGATTTTTTTGAAGGTAACTGTAAAGTTAAACAGCGCAGTACATTTCGGAAAATCATTTGACTGCCTTCCCGGTTGAATTTTTAGCTGAAATTTGGTATGGGTAAACTAGACTTAATGAAGAAAATGCTCAAAAAATTTCATCAAAAAATTCCACCGGGAACCGCCCCAATTAGCGATGGCCGGGCAAAACTTCCTATATAAGGGGCTAATTGAACACTTTAAGTCAGTTCAAGGGCCTATTTGACCTTTTAGCCTATTATATACTATTAACATTATATTACATATTAATTACTTTAATTAAACTTACATTAATTTATTAAGTATAGTATATATAGTTTATAGTATGTGCATTTATTTGTCAAAAATATAATTTTATATAATATATATAATATGCACACACAATATAAGAAATATATTTATATTATAAATTATATATATTAAGTATATTATCCTATTAGTTACATTTTCATATTTACATTCTCATTTTACATTATTCACATTTTAGTTAATAGTTGCTTTTATATATTAAGTATATTATCCTATTACTTAATAATAGTTGCATTTATATATATTAAGGGTATTATCCTATTAGTTAATAATAGTTTCATTTTAATTGCAATTACAATACTCACATTTTAATTGCATTTACTATACTTGTTACATTATCATATTAGTCATATTTGTTAGATTTTAATATTATTTCTTTACATTTTAAAACTTGTTTCAATATTAGTCACATTTAATAATACATACATTATAATATAAAAATTTCTGACATTTGAATTTTAGTTACATTTAAATATTATTCACATTTAAATATTTCTTACATTCTCATTTTAGTTACAATATAATAGTAGTGGCATTTTAGTTGCATTTACTATACTCACACTCACATACTAATTTCATTTACTATACTTGTCACATTATCATATAAAATTTTGTCACATTTGAATAGTAGTTGCATTTAAATATCAGTTGCATTTAAATATTTCCTACATTCTCATATTACATTATACTCTTATTAGTTACATTTTAATATTAGTTGCAATTAATATACCCACATTCTCATATTTAATTATCATATATTAATATTTGTTACATTTTAGTAACTCACATTTTAGTTACATTTTAATGTTAAACTCACATTTTAGTATTTATTAAAGTCATATTTTAGTTACATTGTACTCACATTTAAATATTTGTTAGAGTTTAATATTTGTTACATTTTAAGATGTCACAACTTAGACATTTTGTAGATTTGGGTGACCTTCAACGCAACCGAAAGAAAGAGATTGTGAAAGGACATCCTTCTTCGTGAGGCAAATGTAAAGGGCATGTCGGGTCTTCTACTCAAAAGCCGAGATGATTTTGACACGACTTACAATCGAAGAGATGCGATGTCCGACGACCAACTGGCTCAAATATTTAATTACCAACAAGAAGACATTTCCGAGATTGAGGAAGAGCTCGAGGATCACGATGACGATGGGGAGCCGGCGATAGTCGAAGAGGAACAAGGCGACGAGAAAACCCCTGACGAGGAGGAGGAAGAAGATGTTGGTCCATCCCAACCAGGTAAAAAATTCAAATATGTTCTTTTTATAAAACATTTTGATAAGAAAAAGAATCTGCCGACAATAAGTGGTATGCAACTTGCAAACATTGTAAGCAAGTATTGAGCTTGGGGTGTCGATGGGATACAACGGCGCTCATAGGCATTTGAAGGCCCGATACCCCACAGAGGCGACGAAACTGAAAGGCAAGAGGACACAAATACAAATATCGAGGTTTGCAAATGATCCATCCTTTGGTAATTTTGCTTATAATGAAGCGAAAAATTTAAATCCTTGATTTCGAAACTAGTCGCAAAACTATTAAAAAAGAAGTTATAAGGCTATATTTTTTTGAAAGGATAAATTAAAATTGTTCTTCGCAAACTTTGATGGGCGTGTTAATATTTGAAGTGATATATGGGAGGATGCATATGACATTTGTATTATTTGGGTGTGACAGTATATTATATTAATGATAACTGGGAAATGCATAAACGTGTTATCGCTTTTCGAGAATATAATTACTGACACACTGATGATAATATTTATATGTTTGTTGAACATATTTTAACTGAATACAATTTGAATGATACAGTGTTTGTTGTTGGACTTGATAATGCTAGAAATTAGGGCTGGGCAAATCGGTTTACGGTTCGGTTTTTATCAGGTTTGGTTCGGTTTCTAGTTGTTCGGTTCGGTTTCAAGTTGTTCAGTTTGGCGAAAAATGTATTTCGGTTTGGTTTCGGTTCGGTTCGAGAAATTTTCGGTTCGGTTCGGTTTATAAAGTTAAAAAAATAATGTATAGTTTCATATTTTTAAGTCAACATTTACTAATTTGAAATGGTTTATTTTAGGTTAAATCCAAACCAAATAAACTAAAACAAAGCAATAAAATCAAAATAGAGTTTTTTGGTGTTGTGAGTAAAATAGCAATGGTGTACAAGCAATGTGCCAACATAAATAAAAGGAAAAATTGAAAATAATAATCCCAACTATTGCCGGTCCGCTGATAATAATCTCAACTATTGATTATTTTTGTATAATCCCAACTATATGGATCGTCCGCCAATAATGGTCCATGGTCATATATTACCTCCTATAAACAGTGAATTTTAAATTGAAATTAAGTGTAAAAATTAAAAGTTGAGATTATTTATAGGGATTACTTGCTATATCACTCCTCATCCACTTTAGAAACTACATGCATTTATTTATATGGACCACTATTGGCGGAAGGTCCCTAAAGTTAGAATTATTCTAAAATAATCGATAATTGGGATTATTATGGGCGGACCACCAATAGTTGGGATTATTCCTATCAATTTTTCCTAAATAAAATATAAGTAGTGATTTACATGTGGTGCAATGAGCAAAATAGCAATGATTTAAATGGTTAATAAAAGTGGGTGAGGGCTTAGGAGTTTGGACAGTTATGTTTCACTCCAAATCACCAAGTCACTAAACCTATAACTTCCTTAATGTATACATATAATGGACAAACATATTGCCGTATTTCACTGGCACAACCAAACTTACAATCTCCATACTACACACACATGTGTGTGTTTGTGTGTGTGTATGTATATATGTGTGTGTGTTGTTCGGTGTTCGATTCAGTTTACGGTTTTTCCGTTTTAAACCAAACCAAACCAAAGTACCAAACCATTCGATTTGAGCAAATGTTTACCAAACAGTTTACTTAAGTAAACCCCAACCAAACCAAATTAAACCACCAATTTTAATAATATATGAAAGTTTTTTTGAGTTTCTTTAGTTCGGTTTGTTTTTGAGTTTTATCGGTTTCGGTTCGGTTCGGTTTAATACGGTTTGAAAGAAATAGTACCAAATTGCACACGGTTCGTTTTCGGTTCGGTTTAGTTCGGTTTGGTACGGTTCGGTTCGGTTAAACCAAACCGTTATGCCCACCCCTGCTAGAAATAATATTGTTGTTATATCTAAATTGTGTGGTTATTCTACTTTGATAGGTAGGGTTTTTCATCAGCGTTGTGGATGCCATATTCTTAGTTTATGTGTGAAAGATGGTTTAACTGCGATAGGAACTGTGGTGGAGAACGTGAAGTGGGGTGTTAGGCTTATTTGGGATAAGACTCATTTGCTTCCATGATTGATTGAAGGCCCGACATAGAACTCAAAAACTTTGCATCACCCCCGACCGCCACTTCATGGAGAAAACGACAATAGACGCTGGCGGAAGTTCTGACGATTAGCATTGATGTTTGGAATTATTCTCAATCCTTAATTGTAATTCAAATTTCAAATAAATCTACATTTCATTTTTAATGTCTACCAGTTGATGTATAAATTAGGTAATTTAAAATAATAATAAAAACCTGACCTGACACAACCCGGGACCGGTCTGTGACCCGATCGTACCAAACCAGGTCGGTACCCAGCTCCACTATATTAGAACTGGGACCAGCCGGTTCCGAACCCGAAACTGAATCGGCTGATCCCGGACCGGCCCGAATCCACCCCAAACATAAAGAGGCTAAATTAAAAAAAAAAATCAATCCAATTAAAATATCGACTTTAACCCCTAATGCTCCGTTGGTTTTATACTTTTATGTAATAAAAAGAGTAAAGGGTGAGTTTGGTCCTCGAAGTCCTTATGAGGCGGTTCCTAGTGGAATTTTTTGATAAAAGTTTTTGCGCATCATATTCATTAAGTCTAGTTTACTCATACCAAATTTTAGCTAAGAATTCAATCGGGAAGACATTCAAATGAATTATTGAAGATAATTGCGTTTTAACTGCACAGTTATCTTCAAGAATTCATTTGAATGTCTTCCTGACTGAATTTTTATCTAAAATTTGGTATGTGTGAACTAAACTTAATGAATAAGATGCTCAAAAAAATTCATCAAAAACTTTCACCGAGAACCACCCCAAATGGCGACGCCCGGATAGAACCTCATATATAAGGACTTATTTGACCTCTTTTATGCAACTTCGAGGACCAAACTGACCTTTTACTCATAATAAAAATAATAATGATGATGTCAACAACTCAAAGAATGCTAATGCTCCATTAGCTTTATTACTGCCTTTACACTTTTATGTAATACTTCCTTGGCTGATATCTCATAAATATTGAACGATGATTTTGATTAGAAAATTACAAATTGTATGCTTTTACCAATTTATGAAAAGTACTTTTGATAAAAATGATAATATTTCGTTCTATAAATAATTTCCAATAAAAATATATAGTTATATTCCGTATAGTTTATCAAAGTTTTAAAAATTGTAAAGTTTTTTGGAACAGAAGTAGTAATAATAATGACAACTATGACATGTGTACAAGTTAGTTGTACACGACATTTTACACGCCACACATATTTCTATGCACAAGTAATCTTTTTTCATTTTGTAAAGTGGAATTGTGTCTCACACCGATAATACGTAGTAATTTTTTGCATGTGTCATGACGTGTACGACCCACATTTCTCAAAGAATTGCTAGCAAGAAGTCAAGAACCACCAAGGATCGTCATCCAACACACATCATCATGGTTCAACAGCCATATTTATATCACACGGCAAATAGAATTGTTTGGATGAAATGCTCAAGCCTTGGTGTTTGACATCAAAGTTTCCTCATTTGCCAAAACAAAAAAATGTGCAATATCTTCAAAGGGGTTGAGTCATGAAGGTAGCCAGGTAGGTACTAGGTAGTAGTATCTTGTACTTGTAGTGGAATTTTCCTCCATCACATATTGTTCAAGTAGAGCTTACAAGTTTTGAACAGTTCGAAAAGAAAAATAAACAAAGGCAGCACGATGCAGGCTCCCTACTCCACTAGGGATCGAAGAGGATTACCAGCGATTCATATTCATGTAAGAATAGTATACTCCATGTCTCCATGATTCATGGAGCTGAACTGTCATAGAGGATTGGCTTGTTGTGAAGTACAAAAACTAATCAAGTAATCATGACATCACTTCACAATAATTCACCAACAGGAATGCATTCAAACCTTCAATGAAATAGATGGATGCACTCATTGTTTATCTGCAATCTGCAATAGACAACATTTCAGGTGCCAGTGGTTATAATAGAAACCGTTAACATATGGCTACGAGAACACATAAATAACACCAACGGCAACATAAGCATGCCGCCATGTTCCGAGTTCATTTAGGGAGGGTTTGATTCAATGTAGTGGAGGGGAGGGATTTTAATGTTATCTCCTTCAGATAGAGTAGAGGGGAGGGAGAGATCCTGATGCTAATTTCTTGGGTACGGGGAGGGAAAATGTTCATAAACAGATTCCCCCTTATATCATGTTATAACAAATTGACGATTTTAACAGATCAAAACAACATCATCTAAGCCTTGGTAAAAAAAATAAGAAAGATAAGAAAGATAGGCTGATACTACAACAACAACAACAACAACAACAACAACAACTAACTTAGTCCCAAAAAGATTTTGGGGTCACCTAACACGAATGGATACATTATATTGCAGCCAAAAAGAAAACAAAGTCAAAAAGATAAAAAGATAAGGTATAATAAAAAAGATTCCATAAAGACAAAGACAGAGATAAAAAGGGGAGATGTCAAATAGACCCTTGTACTATTTCCAATCCATCACTAAAACCCTCCTACTAAAAAAGCATCAAATAAATATGTTTACTATTAAAACACGATCAATCAAGCCATTTTGACCTATTATAGCAAATTATTTTTAAAAAGAATTAGGACTATTGATAAATCTTATAGAAATTCATATAAATTTGAAAAATAATGCAATTTATATATAAAATATTGTATAAATTTAAAAATATATAGATAGTTTAAAAAGTTAAAATAGATAAATAAAAAAAATAAAAAACTGAAAAAATAAAGTAAAAATGTAAAACATATAAAATAAAAAATGTAAAAAAACGTTTTAAATAGATGTAGAATATACAAAAAAAAAATAAAAAATGAAAAAATATTGACTTTCACATTCTAATATTTCAAATATTAGACAGTATTTAAATAATTTAGTATAAGAAACTTGTTATTAGAGGTCAAAAACTAATTAAATGGATAGAGTGAACAATTCTTTAAAGTAAGCGAGCATATATGATATTTTTTTATATATGGGCTTAAGTGGTGAATTGGAAATAGTAGAAGGGCTTATTTGACTCTTTTCCAAGATAAAAATGATAAGATAAAAAAGAAAAAAAAGAATATATAAAAAATAAAAATGATAAAAACATATAAAAAAACATAAGAAAAATAAACAAGATATAAGGATACAACAACAACATCCAAGCCATAGTCCCATAAGATTTTGGGAAAAGAAGATATAAGGATAAAAAAATATAAAAAGATAAGGTAAGATAAATAGATAAAAGAACTAAGATAAAGATAAAATAAAGATAAAAAAGATAAAAGGATAAAGAACATGAGAAAGATAAAGAAGATAAAAAGATAAAAAAAGATCAATCCCCCACATGAATATTCTCCCTCCACTTTGCTCTCTCCAAAGTTAGATTTTAATGAATCAATAATTATATATAAGGAAAATAACTTTAAATAATACCAACTATTGTCTATAAACCAATAATGATACATACGGAGTACTTGGAATATGATTTCTAATAATACCAACTATTTGAATGTAGAACAAAAATAACATAGAATCACTTTTCTACAAGAAATCCAATCATTTAATTATTTTTTGAAACGTGTAGTTATAAATTATTTATATAGTATATATTTATAAATCTTCATTTCCAGAAATCCAAACTATTAAGATAATCAAAAGATAATCAAAAGAGAAGAGATGTGCCCGAATGCCTAGAGGGAACAGGTTGACTTTTTATTAAAAAGAGCCCAGTACAGGCCTACACTTTTTTACCCAGGGTTATTTTGATGAATGATCTTCCACTGAATGTTCAGTGTTAAACATAGTTTCATGTTTATAGGATCTGGACTAAGAATGTTTGGATTAAGCGATCAACCATTAGTTGTTAGTCATAGTTCACATATTTTCCTTCCCTATACTGTGTATGGATGATGTGGGGCGAGACTTAAGAATATCAATCTAATTTTTATGAATGTAGTTTCAAACTATGAGGGGATTTTTTTATGATGGTAAAGAGTTATTAACTAGAAACTTTCTGACAATTAAATTAGTAAGATGGTGCACTTTTCTTTCCAAAATATAATAAGCGTAGTAACAAGTTTCTTAAACTCCTGGAATACCTTTTTTCTATATTTTAAATTTCAACCAACAAATATAGCTTAAGGCACCATTTATTTAAATAAAACATTCTTCATAGAAACTATTTCTGGGCTTTCGTGTGTTTGGCAAAGGAAAACAATTTGCGCAGGAAGACTTCCTGTTTAAGCACCACGAATTCATTTTCCTCATTTTCCTAAAAATGATTTAAGACTTTCTATAATTCATTTTCGCTGGGTAAACCTTGCATTAATTGTTACTCCCTCTATTCCACTAAGATTGTCCCATTTTACCTTTTCGGGAAGTCCCACTAAGATTGTCCCATACCAAATTAGGTAAAGTTTGTGTGGCTCTAAATCATTCTTACTTTTTCAATTCAATATCAACCACATAAACTCACTTTTCTTAATAACCGTGCCACCTTCCGTCCCAATGTTAGTGGGACGGAGGTAGTATATATATAGATCAATATACATAGAACAACTTAATTTGTACGCAAAACATTTTACAGAAAATTATTTCTGAGAAAAACATTTTACACAGCAATTTATTCTCAAGAAATCAACGGAGCAAAAAAGTGAGTAAATAACTACAAGAAGAGGTGAATTGAAGTAAGCGATACACCAAGGGACCATTCACAATTGCAACCAAATTGCAGTTTTGGTTTTACAACTGTTGAAAATATATGATATAAGTTGTGTAACAAACAAAAAAGTAATGATACATGTATTCTGATGGGCTTAATCATAAAAATATCCACCAAAAAACTAGTAACCACTTTTTGGTTTTCATAGTGTTGTTCTTTATTTTAAGAAAACAGTAAGTAAAAACAATACCAAATGACCCCAAAAGAATCACATCTTAAACATACAGTTTTATCTTAGGATAATTAAAGAATAAAATAACAAAACCTATACCAAGAAACAATCATCATTTACATCATCCGTATAAGTATTTAATAAAATATTTTTTTCAATCAAAGAATACTCCTTCCATCTAAACAGAAAGACCTAGTTGAAAACTTATTTTTAGTCCCAAGAAGAAATTCTATTAGAATCAAATAAGCTATTCTTTCATCAAATTTAATGTTTTTTATAATACAATAATGAAAAAAGTAACTGAAACAAATTAAAAAATATATATACCAAGAAGCAATTAGGCTCACTCCTTTCCAAAAAATTACCTAGTTGACAACTTATAATCGTTCCTAGAAAGGTTTTTTTAACATTTACACGTCCCCCCACATTTTGTAAACTATATTTTTAGAAAGTTTGTATCTCATGTTCCCCGTACGCTTCCGTGCTACTGTGCTACATAGAAATGGTCTTCTTTTGGATGAGCGAAAATGGAGACAAAATACTGCTCACTTTTTTGACACTTTAAGGGATAAGAAAAAACTAAGGTTTTGGTAGGAATTGTGTACTTAGTTGACTATAAGCCAAACTCAGCAATTACAAACAAAACTTTCTAGGTGTTGGATGGAGCACTAAACCCGTGACTCTGGCACAACAAGTGTAGCATAGATCCGCCACTTTAAATATCTTTATGACAAAGACTTTACCTGGTTAAGAGGATTATCTGGAGATTTCTTCCAAAGCTTCCAAAGCATGTCTTTGTACTGTGTGTGAGTAAGCCCAGGTTTCTCTTCTTTCAGTCTAGGAAGCTCATATTCCTCAAAGGCCTACAATCATTAAGCGTCCAACTATGAGTCTATTAGGAATGTATGAAGAAAGCATATTTCTCGTTGACGCTTGGTTAAACATAATTTGAAGAGATCATATATTCAATACACAGGAAATTTGTTTATGCCTTCAAAGGATATACTTTGGATTATTGACGAATTCGGTATACAATATCCACGAATTCATTTATAGATTCAATGAAATATAATTCCAATGATAAAAATGAAGAACTAAAATTTCTTAAATTCTTTTAATTTTCAATAAACAAAGTAAATTAATGACCTATACGGCTATACCTTGAAAGAAGCCTTAAGTCTCTTCTCTGGATGTTTATCAACAGGCAAATTTTCAGCGACAGTCATGCGAGCAAGCGCTTCATCCACTGACCTAGCCTCAATGATGGAATCATCACGATTTGTATTCGTAACGAGGACCATCCTTTCATACTCCTCCTCCTCCGCAACACGGCCCTGCCTCCGCTTCTCCTCCTCGGCCCTAAGTTGAATCGCCGCCTGCTCCTCTTCCCTTCGTCTCCGGAGTTCAGCTTCGGTCACCTTCGGTACCGGGACAGATACTCTATCAACTTTCTTGTCCGGCTTCTTCAGTGACTTGGCCAATTCCTGCTCCTCCAATTCAGCCAGACGACGCGCCTCCGCCTTCTTAGCAGCAGCCTCCGCTCGTTTCTCCGCTTCTTCCTCACGTTTCTTAGCAGCGCGAGACTTTGATCCCTCGGCTTCGCGCCAATATTGATCTTCCTTCTCCCGTTCCTCACGATCCTTCCGTTCAGATTCGACCGCGGTCTTCCGGGCCCTAGATGCCTCGGCCTTACTGTTCACACCCATCTTCTTAGGCATGTTTACAACTTTCTCGATCTTCAGATGAAATCTTGCAGCAACTTCAGACGTGCTGGTTGAGGATCAATTGGGATTTGGGAATTTTTATCAGAATTTTAAAGTATAAATAAATTTACAAAAAGACTTGCCAATAAAGGTATATGACTTTTCTCCAAAAAAAAAAGGTATATAAGATCATTTCTTAGTAAAAGTGTACACTGTACTCCGTATTTATCATAGGGTTTTGTCATCAATATTACTAAAAATTGGGTAGTTGGCAAAAAAATTGTGGAGTACATTAGGTTTAAATTTTCGAAAATGTGACAAAAGCATAGTTACATCTTTAACCTCTACTGTAGTGACAAATGTATAGTCACATCCCTCTAGTGACACAGTAATTCCGGCAATCGTGACTCCGGTCACCGTGACATCGTCATAGTAACACGGTGACTCAGGCCATAGAGACATCATCCCAATGACACTAACATAGTGACGTCGGCGACTGTGACTCCGCCACAGTGACATCAGCCGCCGTGACTCCAGCCACAGTAACTCGCCAATGATGGTGTAATACTTGAGATTACTTTAAAGGGACTAATAGTACTACTCATACCAACAGATGTGCGTCTCCTTTTAAGGGAGCTCATCACCTAAGAACTCCAATTTAAGCGTGCTTAACTTGGAGTAACTACCTCGAGTCCTGCGAGGCCGGTTGTTACAAGTGGTCCAGAGCAACCCTGTGACAGTGTGCTCCATTGCATATCGGGCGGACACTTAGCGGGGAAGATTCTTAGACTTCATTGAGATTTGTTTATAGGCGCAACGAGAACGTTGTGTTCCTAAGTGAGGGTGATTACAATACTTGATATTAATTTAAAGAGACTAATAATACTACTCATACCACTCCCCGCCATCGCGGGTACACTACCTCATTGATCGAGTTTCGTAAGAGAGTTAGTACGTTGAGCTTACGAGATTATAGTAGGTTGGGGTTCAATACCCCAACAATCACATATTTTTTAAAAAAAGAATTACTTTAAATGGACTAATAGTATTACCCATACCACTAATAATATGTTGCGTTCATAAGTGGGGTGATTGTAATACTTGAGATTAATTTAAAGGGACTAATAGTACTTCTCGTACCAATCCCGGAAGATCTAAAGTATTGCAAAGGTAATATTTATACACGGAAACTTTGTTATCGAGGATATACTATTTCCGCTCAAAATTGTGTTATTTCTTGATGATGATTGGTTGTGGGAAGTTGCCCCAAGCTGGGATAGTCTCTTCACTGCGCTCATCCTTCCCCAAGAATGAAGAAAGAATGTGATGAAGTTAAATCCAACTACGAGAGCTAAATATACGTAGATATGAGAATAATATGGCAGCGTAAGGCAGTTTTACTCTTTATTCCGGAGAACTAGCAATAGTCTAGCCTCGGTTTAGAATTTTATCGGGGGTCCGATCCCTTTGATAGGGTGTTTACATCGAGTATTTATAGAGATTAGAAGGTAGAATTATGGGAGGAATCTAATACAACAAATGCTCAATTAATGAACTATATTCTTGCTTGAAATAGAACTCTTCGATCTTGATCTCCACACGATTACCTTCTCCTTTTAGTCACCGTCCTCCGGATGAGTCCTGCATGTTGCCAATTATCTATCACCGAGTGATAGCTCGCCACGTAAGCCCTAGGAATATCCCGGCTTCACTAGAACTCCGCCCAGGCTCGAGGTCTGCTGTCCAGCCCGGCCTAGCTGTGGGTTCCTATCGTGGGCCTAATTCCTAATGGGCTAAGCGGCTTTTAATCATGAATCCCGTTTATGGGCTGATCCTGTTATTAGGCTAATCTCGTTAAGCGTTGATCCTGTTTATGGGCTAATCCTGTAATTAGGCTGATCCCATTAAGAGATGATCCCGTTTATGGGCTAGACTACGTAATTGAGCCATGGTCTGAATCCATGGTACCATCAGAATGAAATAAGACTAAGAAAATATCATAATAAGAAAAAATGAAAGAGAATGGGAGATGGGCCAACCCTCGCAAGGGAAAGAGAAAGAAAAACGTAAAGAACAAATGGAACATGAAAAAAATACAATTATCAGCAAAAAATAGTCACCTTCAGGTAAATTGGTCTAGGTGATGTTTTCTCGAGTAAACATGTTTATGTGATGATTTTTTTAGTACATGAGTCAAAGCGATGGGTTTACAATTGTAAAAGAACTTATTTTACCATTTTTCATTAAAAAAAACAACAAGAATAAAGTTAATGTCCAATTCGCTATACTATTAATATTGTAGTTTTGGTCATTGACTCTACTTTCTTTATCAAGTTTAATCCTATGTTGTTTTTCTAGAAAAAATGTCAAAATGTTAACTTTACACCTCTAGAAGACAAAAATGTAACTAGGGTTGTTTTTTTTTCAAATATGTGATTGTTGGGGTATTGAACCCCAACCTACTATATAATCCCGGAAGCTCAACGTCTTACTCTCTTATGAAATCCGATCAATGAGGCCCACTTGACTCATTTGAACTATGTTAGCCCATTTATGCTCATTTTGGCCTTCCAGAGTTCCAGCCTATTAAGGTAGCTTTTGCACCTCTTCACATTTTCCTATTTATAGGAGGTTTTCCCTTCATTTCAAGGATCCGATCTCTTCTTCTCCACTACCATCCCTCTCTCTAGAATATCTCATAGCTCGATTAACGACTTTCAAAGTTTGATACTTGTACAATGTAAATGGTGAGGATAAAAGGAGTGTGGCTTGGACAGTAGCTCAGAAAGTCATGCGGTTTTCTCCCATTTGGGTCCTCACTTAAAAATCTAGTGTTCCTACATATTTATATGTATTTATACTATTTGTGTTGGAATTAGTTTTTTTTTTGAACGAAACTGGCTTAACTTATCATTACCAAACAGATCAAACAGACCGAACCAAAACAGGTTACAAAGTGACAACAAGTCTCCTGTCTACCGTCCGCCCAAGGACCAGACTCTGAATTAATCATCTCCGTAGAAGCCATATAATTCGATGATCCCACTTTGTGCTTTTCTGAGCAAATAACTTGCAGACACGACACCTTATCTCTTGTTTTAGATTCACTAGTTTTTTTGCTGGAAAAACGCATCACAACCAAAACAAAAACAACATCCAGAACGTGGGAAATAAATAAAAAAAATAAAGAGAGTAAATAAGTTTATCGACTAAAAGAGTCGTGATTAGCATCAGGTCATCTGGCGGGGATGGAGACCAGCCCCCGCTACCGCCCCCATTTTTTGGGGAATCCAACGCCATAGCATCCTGTGCAGCATTCTTCCTAGCCTGATCCGCCCAAGTTCTCCTCCTCTTCAGCTAACCTGGCACTCCTTCCACTTCTATCCCATCTGAGAGCGTAGCATTCCCTGTTCCCGCTTTGGTACTCCCTTCTGTCTTTTCCAGTTCCGCGTCCTGCACTGACCTCGTGATATTTGGTGAGTATGTGCCATCACAGAGGAGCTCCCTTCTGAAATCAGCCATTTGTTACCCATGCTCGGCCTCGATTTCCTTCCACTCGCTCTAAGCCATGGTCCAAAAGGTCTAGTCATAGCTTGCCCCTCTTTTTCGTACAGAAGAGGGCAGAACTTCTCTGCATGTCCAATCACACCACAACAAAAGCAAAAACTCGGCAGCTTTTCATACTTAAAGTCTACCCAATAAACTTCTCCCTTACTCTTCCTTAGCGTGGTCCCAATTTTTAACGTTTTACCTGTGTTCATACGGACTCTCACACGCATATAATTTTCCTTTTTTTATCAACTTTTTGCTCATCCCAAGTGATAAATTCCCCTAAATGATTCCCAATCCTCCTTTTCGTTCCCAAATTATCAAAACTGTACGGCACATTATGAACCTGTACCCAGATCTCAAATTCATCTAGCAACATCTTACTCGGGATATCACCCGGTTGAACAGCTTTTAACACAATCAAATTCTGATCAAACAACCAGGGTCCATTATCCAGGACACGATTCATATCAACATAATGGAAAATTTTAAACAGATACCTTCGTTCACCGATCTCTTGTATAGATATACCTTTGCTCGGACGCCATAGATCAGCCATGAAACCCCTGAAGAATGGAAATCGAATGACCTTGTCCGTAAGAACCGTCCCGACCACCAAAAATTCCTTTGCCTTTGCTGCCACAATCGCCAATTCCCCTTCCTCTTCATCGTCAATCAGCAGTTCATCCTGAAAACCCCCAATTCCCAACCCTCCATACTTAGCAGTGAGCTGCCCTACCCGTTCTTTTTCCTTTTCTGTTAAATGTCACACACCGGAAACATTTGGATGAACAAAGTGCTATATTAACACATGGACTCCTCCTCCTATTAGGTTGACCTTTTAGGATGGAACCCCAGGTCTTAACATGGTATCAGAGCCAAATCGATCCATGGTGTGGGGCCCCTTATGAAAAATGTTAAATGTCCCACACTGGAAACATTTGGATGAACAAAGTGCTATATTAACACATGGATTACTCCTCCTATCAGGTTGACCTTTTAGGATGGAACCCCAGGTCTTAACATGTTCACTATCCTCCCTTCATCCATCAGCAACGACGTCTTCCATCTCCCTGCCGCACCAGTCGACCAAGACTCGCTCCTCGTGACTACCGATCGACAAATGCCCAGCGCTGCACTAATGACGGCAAATTTTCTCGCCCCTCAGCTCTCACGAGCTAGGGTTGTTGGAATTAGTTTAAAAAAACAAATATATACATATTTATATTTATTTCATGCATTCTTCATTCTACAAAAAAACTGATAGGAAGATGTACTGAGTTCAACAAAAAAGGACAAGCCATGGAATATGGAAGTTCGGATCCAGTATTTCCAAATCTGGGTTGGGGTCACAGGAGCCACAGTCACCATCCTTGTTGCATCATGCACCGCTGAAACTCGCCTACCCCGTTTCCAGGTCTCGCTGTCGTAGAGCTGCCGCCGCGCACCGTGGGCGGAGGTTTTCCGTCGCTGCTCCAGGTTAGGAAGTTGTGGCCATCGAGTAGCCTCTATCTGTTCCATCTCATTTCTGTTCTGGCGACCAAGTCGGACTGCCATTAATGACCGCTCAAAGCTCATACACTGGCATGGGAAGGACAAAATGTCCCCATACCTGAAGTCGACATCGACCGGGAGTCTC